TGGGGTCTTTAGGAAGCCCAAACACAATGACTTCAGTTTTACTTTCATTTAGATGTAGGAAGTTAAGAGCCATCCAAGTCTTAATGTCAGACAGACAGGAGAATAACGGCTCTACATGAAAGTTAAAATATATATGTTCAGTGCACATAGATATATAGTGTATATGGTGCAGTGGGTCCTGGGATCCTCCTCCAAAACTCAGATCTTCAGGAAAGTACAACAAGTACGCTCTGACATTTTTAATCCTTTCTTTGTAGAAAAATGGAGCCTACTCCTTTAAGGGCATGTCCTACGCTGCTCCACCTGTTGGTGGCCTGCGCTGGGCTCCTCCAGCTGAACCGGCATGCAAGAGTGGGGTTATCGATGCGGGCCACTTTCGCAGCATGTGTCCTCAGGTGAGGCCCTTGTCGAGCACGGGGAAGGTGATGGGCCAGGAGGACTGCCTGTTCGTCAACGTGTGGACCCCCACCCTGCAGCCTGACGCCAAGCTTCCCGTCATGGTGTGGATCCACGGAGGATACCTGCACATGCTCAGCGGAGGAGAGAAGGGATACTCGCCTACGGAGAAGCTCGCCGCCGACACAAAAATGGTTTACGTCAGCTTCAACTACAGACTCAATGCCTTTGGCTTTCTCGCCCTGCAGATGCTGAGAGAAGGTTCTCCAAGAAACACCTCAGGTTAGTTGGTGATGCACAGCAGGACGGATGTGGAGTGGTTGCATGATATTTGTAGCCTGAAGCCTTAGCTGAAACAAGCTAATGAATATACATGTTGTGTAAGACATTTGTTAGATATCAGGAAAGGTTAAAGGAGACCTGTTCAACTCTTCCAATTTTCTGACCCTTATATAACCTGTTACAATGGATTTTAACATGGTTAATGTCTCAAATAATGAGGTCACTGTGCATGCAACTCTCCCCTGTGAGCCTGAACGCTTCACACTAAACAAGCTTTTCCTACGTTTGCCTCTGCATGTTGTCAGTGACAGAGGAGATCTCAGCACCACAATTATGTCAGCACACAAGCCCCGCCCACTGGCTTTTCATACCTTTATTAGTTTTGTCAATGATCTGTAATATCAATGACCTAAAATGAAGCTACGACACAGATTAGATGTCACGATCTGGACCCAAGTGCAGGCAAACGGAGACCAGAACGGATAATGACAAGAAGTGAGTCTTTATTTTGGCTGCTACCAAACTACAAACAGGTGGAACAGGGAAAGCTAAGAAAACCTAAACTGGGAAAAACTAAGCATGAAATAACACCTGAAACTAGAAACAAGAAACTTGAAAACCTGGAAACGGGATGGAGAGCAGAGGTAATCCGGGGGTAACACAAACGATATATACACAGAGAGAAACGAGGAAATGGCGAACAGGAGGGAGACACAGCTGAACCTCCATAAACATTACGACACAGGGAGGAAGCAAAACAGAATACACTGACATAAGACACAGACCTTCAAAGTAAAACAGGAAACATGACACAATACGCAGCCGTGGGACACGGGAAAAGTACAGAGTAGACACGGGAACAGAGATTGACACAGGCGAAGATAAACACAAAGAGAGGAAGGACTATAATCACTAAGAACCAGGGTTTTAATAGTTTTGCAATTTTCATTAGTTTTTATTTTTATTTAGTTTTGACTTCAGATTTTCAATTTTATATCAGTTTTAATTAGTTTTTACCAATTGTTTGCTAGTTTAGTTTAGTTTTTATTTTTTTGAAAATCCTTAGTTTCAGTTTAGTTTTGATTAGT